TCTTTCTGCGTGAGCATTCGTGGGACCCACTCAGCTACTTTGTCAACCTGCCCCTCTGCTGCCATCTGTCACATGGCAACAAAATGGAACGGAATATTGGTGGGAAGGTTCAACTTCTACTGCCATACTACCAACAGCTGCCTCTGACTTGGCGGGCCAACATAATAAGATAGGAGGCATTACTTTTGGACCCACCCTCATACATATTCAGCTTTGTTTAGAAAGAGAAAAAGCTACTTTTAATCACAGTCCTCATATTGAAAGCCAAGCATGTACTTGACTTTGCAGAACTGTGGCCAAAATGACTTTACAAGGCAAAAGATGAGGCAGGTCACTCGTTTCTCTGGTGAATATTGATGTGTTCCTATGCAGGTAGGCAAAATAATACTCAGCTGTCAAACTAAAATCAATCATAGTTTGCTTTATTTGGAATCTGCCATGGGAGGCTTGCAGTTTTCTCTTTGTTACTTGTGGTTTTAGACAGCAAAATTAAAATGTGAAACCCTATCAACATGTGAACTCGGCACCCTCTGACATATGGGGCATGCCCCTCATCCAACACAATCTTTGGTTAACAGCTGTGAGGAATTTTACCAGGCTAAACAGCTTTTTATTCTAACCCAGGGGAAATGGCATGTGTTAGCAAAGCTACAGAAGGTCTCTTCAGTCCCTAAATGCAAAAACATATTGAGGATTGCAAAGAAAAATTACAAGGGGGACAGAGTTCAAATAAAATTTGTTCTCTGGTTCATGGCAAGATCTAGCTCTGCTCACAAACACATTCAAGGCAGGCTTATTTCTGCAGGCCTGATTTGGTGAGTGCTCATTATGAGGAGCTCCCTTTGAAGCCACTGGGAGCACTGGCACACCAAAACTCCCTTCCTCAATGGTGTGGAGACAGTCTGCACCAGCTGAGGATTCAGTACAAAGTACTGACAAGCTGGGGCTTGACCATGGTGTTCTGTTATCAGCAAACTGAAAGGCAATAACACTTATATTTTCCTTTGGGGAACCTTGCCAATGTCATACTTACAAAACTCATTTTGGTCTGGAACAGCCCATTGGCAGGATGAGACTTGAACATAACAAAGGAAAACAATGTGGAAAAAAAAAAAGAAAAAAGAAAACATGCTCAAAACATGCTACTACATATATAGTAGCAATGATATCAAGCCAGCATTCAACAGCAGATTCACAGCTCACCTAGTGAAAGAGGTGGGAAGGACTGAACCAACGTTTTTTGCAAATTTTTGCAAGTGGGCTGTTTGTACCAGCTTCGAGGCTTTTTTGTCCTGCTGAGGCAAAAACAAGCAAGCAAGCAAGCAAACAAACAAACAAAAAAACCCATCATCCAGTAAAGAGGCCAGCACATTTTGTCAGACTCAGGACAATCAGTCCTCTAGGATCTGGTAAAATCCCACCTACCCCTTCAGACCACTGCTGTGCTGCGTGAGGAGGAGGCATGAGTGATCCCCTACTGCAGCCCAGGAGCCAGAGAGTCGGCTGTTTTCTGCTGTGTGAACAGAAAGGGTTGTTTCATTATTCTGGCCTTGTCTGAGTTACTCCGCCTCTTGCCAAGTTAAACTTCCATTATCGCAATCATTCTAGGTGATGCTAAAGGCATTTGGTGAAGCATGAGGAAAGCTAATTGACACAGAAAAGGAAAATTCACAGGCCATGCTTTCTCCTGTGGAAATTATGTAAAATGGTTGCTGCTACACTATACAAATAATTTTGATGAATTAACTTGCCTTCTGCTCATTTTTAGCCGGGTATCCCCCAAATGTTACTTTTCTGAAGTGCCTTTTTGCTTCTCAACTTTCCAAAGAAAGTTTCCTTCACATCATTTCAAATGCTGACATACACCCAGGATTACTGTGCAACGCAAGTGTTTATGTTCGAAAGATCAATATATCATTTCAAGTCAACTGAAATTTCTCTGCAGCAGGCTCCCAGGCCAGTGTCAGAAGGTCCTCCAAACACACTTCCGTGTCAGGCGCCATTTTGTCAGGCTGCCCCTCTGCTGCCATCTGTCACACAGCAACAACATGGAACAGAATATTGGTGGGAAGGTTCAGCCTCTACTGCTGTACCACCAACAACCACCTCTGACATCATGGGCCAACATAATAGAATAGGAGGCAACACTTTCACAGTAGCCCCCCCATAATTCATAAATATTTTATAAATATATAAAAACTTAATCTTAATTTGCTTCACTACAAAGTGCTGCAGTACTTGCCCACTAAATTGTAGCCAAATCTGATGATGGGTACAAATGAGCCCTGCAGAAATTAAAAAACAGCTAGAAAAAGAACAAACATTGATGCTAAAATATTTTGAATTATTTAAATCTCTGTTGTCTCACTGTATCTCAGGTATCATTTTAAAAATGAAGCCATGTTTTATCTTGATTACTACGGCTTGTAATATTGCTATTTTGTTATGGCCTTCACACCCATATCTGTCTCACTAATGAATATTTTCCTGTTTAGAGAAAATGAGAGCAGTTCTATTTTATTCAAAGACCAATAACATTCCTAAATGTTCATCCTCACTCTTCTGGAAGAACAATGGAACAGCACTCACATGAAGGATTTACTGGTGTGCATGCCAGGACAAAAACAGATGGACAGAACAAGTTTAGACGAGTGAATCTGAAAAATTGGATGACCTTTATCTCACAAATAAAGTTGCACAAATTCATAAAAAAGCCAGAAGTATTTTATATTTCTTTCAAATGAGAAATTTGAATATTTGTGCTTTAGCCAATCGAATTAATAGTCAGGGTTTACGGCTCATGTATATCCTTTGCAAAGCACAAACTAAATTTCCCATATATCAATTAATTATCTCAAATGTCTTAAAAGCAAACAAACAAACAAAAATGCATTGCCTTACCTAAGGGTAATATCAGGCCTGATAATGAGATGCATGGAATTTTGTTTGCATTTGGTAGCATGCATGGACTCAGAGCCAAGATCGAGTGACTAGCAGTGACAATGTCAAGTTTTAGAGAGACAACCCCTGGCTCTGAGAGCTGAGAGGCCAGGGTGAGACAGAAATACAGCAGGCAGATCTAGCAGGGATTTGGTAGATTGTAAAGAGAGAAAAAGTAAAGAGCAAAACAGTATTTCTTAGCAAACAGTTAGCACAAGTTCACTAGTTTCATGGCATACAGAAGGAAATTGCACAAAGGAAGTCTCCTGTTGGTATTTCTAAGCCATTAAAGCTTGCTCTTTGCCAGAAACTTAAGAAAAAGCCAGGAGCCAAGATAAGGTAAGGCTACTACATAAAATAAAATTTTAAGCTGTATACTTATTTTTCAGACATGAAAGAAAGCCCCACAATATTCAAATTCTGTGAAGTCTACTGTATACAAATACTGAATCCATAAAATTCCCATGTGGATTTGTCACATCCATTTGGGAACAATGCCCCAGTCACCTGTCATCATCAAGAAAAGGTGGTTTATATCCTGTCAGCTTCACACCTAATGTGTTTAGGAAGCCAGAGATTCAAACACAATCAGGCATGAGGTTGGGCTCACGTGACAGGGTAGGTCCTTCCTCCAGGTCACCCTTCATGCATATAAAGACATAGAGAATACATGGCAGAAGTGGTAGCTCTCATGAGAACATGGCAGGAAACATCATAGAAAAAGGCAGTCTTGTCCTGCAATTTTTAAACCAATGTTTACAATTCTGCTGTGGGAAGATGAGTCTGTTACATCCTACGTGGTCTTGCACATATTCTCTATGTTTCTAACAATTTAATTCAGCAACACAATTTTTCTATAGAAAATAACTTTTGGAGAATGTGAGTACATTTACACATCATTTCATTGTCTGTACAGTCATTGTCTGCTCTGCAATCCTGCCACATGTAGAGCATGAACCTTCATATCTCCTGGGAAGTGCCTAGTCCTTTAAATTTGACACTATCAGTGAAGAATCACAGTTTTAAGAGACCCCTATGTCCAGGTTGCTGGGTAGGTACAGCTTAATCCACATGTGTCCCGATACCCTGTTAGGTTTAGTTAATGCTGCTCTGGCTCAGGAGATGCAGAATCAGGCCCCAGGTACAATCCTCTCTCTGCAGCTACAACAGAACCCAGCACTTTTACCCTCAAGTGAAATAGCTTTCACAGCCATCTTCCTGACTTCTTGAATAGTGAGCCAGCAGTGACACTGAGGCAGAGAACATCATACTATGACCTTAAGAATAATTTTTTGGCAGGGAATAAAATTGTCTGTTTTTCATCTCTCAGCAGCATCAGCCTTTCGTTCTCAGAGCTATCTGAAGATTCAAAAAGACAGAATTATTTTGTTCTCTCTTTTTGTAAAATCACAATGAATGCTCTGCTAAAATCCAGGTTTTCATTTTCAGCAATTCCTTTTTATCTTTTTTTTTTTTTTTTTTTGGGTAGCACAAAATGGTTTAATTCTGTCTAACAAGCAATTAATATGTTCTTCCAAACAAATCAGAACTGGAGAACCAAATTAACACCCTTCAAGAGTGATATATCAGCGCCTGATTTCACAGAATGCTTTACGACCCTTCCACCTAATCTAATGGATGGTTTTTAAACATGAGAAAGCCCTAACATGGCTTGAAGTTGAACACTTAGACTCTTTATAAGCGTGTATCACTAATTACAGACAGCCTTTATTAAACCAAGGAGGCACCTATGTATTTCAAAGACAAGAATACCTTTTTTAAAAAATAGCAAACATTAAACATCACATTCACTGTCATTTTTATTGAGCCTTAGCCAAGAACAAAATATTTGACATTTCATTACCGAATACATACAAAGATTACTTGCAAATCTAAGATTAATTCTGAGGGCTGTTCCAAAAGTAATGCCTCCTATTTTATTATGTTGGGCCACAATATCAAAGGCAGATGTTTGTGGTACGGCAGCAGAGGCTGAACCTTCCCACCATTATTCTATTACACGTTGTCGCTGTGTGACAGATGGCAGCAGAAGGGCAGTCTGACACAATGGTGTGTGACACAGACGTGTGGATGAAACAAAGGTGTGTCATTGAATTCCTCCATGCAGAAACAATTGCACCCACTAACATTCATCAAAGCTTACTGAATGTTTATGGAGATCAAACAGTAGATGAAAGCACAGTGAGGCAGTGGGTGGTGCATTTCAGCAGTGGTGACAGAGACATGAAAGTCAAGCCACGTTCTGGACAGCTATTCACAGCTGTCACACCAAAAAATGAAGAGCATGGCAACACTGGTATATTGCAAAGTATGCATCAGGTGGGTCCCACAGATGCTCACATGGAAACAGAAGGGACACTACATGTGAGTTTGTCACAATGTATTGAAACAGTATGAGACTGAAAGTGACAGTGTCCTGGATCATTATTGCATCACTATCGGCTACAAGACATCTCCACTATGAGCCCAAGACAAATTGAGCCCTTGGAGTGGCAGTACGTGAATTCCCCTTGAACAAAAATTTCAAGAGGCAGCTCTCAGTGGTAAAGTGATGTGTGCTGTCTTTTGGGATAGGAAAGAGGTAAGCCATCTGAATTTCCTGGAACCTGGACAAACTGCAAACTCTGACATGATGCTGACTAAGCTGAAGGCTTAAACTTCCAAAATCAGGCCAGAGGAGAAAACAACTTTTCTATTGCAACTCCAGAACACCAGGCCCCATATCAATTTGAAGACTTAGCGGCTGTGAAACAGTGGGCCATCTCCACTCCATTTTTGTGAGCATGGCACGCAGTCTCTTGTTCCTTGCTGGCAAAAATACATGACTAATGGTGGTGGTTGTGTTGAAATAGATATTGCTGTGTAGCTGAGAATTTGCTCTATCAAATAATGCTATTGTGCTTTTTGTATCTGTTTCAGTTTTCCATGGAAATAAGTAGAAAGCATTACTTTTGGAGTGACATATGTAAATATTAAACATGCAGCAGGATCTAATCAGAACTAGAGATATCAACTGTTAATTTTTACCACTTGTCTTTCACTTCCTTCAGCTCATAAACAACTTTAACAAAAAAAAGAACCATGGAATCAAAACAACATATTCCTGGTAAGGTATGTTCATTTACGCAACAGGCTGTTCCAACAGAGCTTTTAACAAGATAGATGAAATTGGGTAAGTGATAATTTAACCAATGATTAAAATGTTTTCTCGTACACTGTAATAATGCCAAGTTCTAAATCCTTTTCTTTTTTTCTTTTTTTTTCCCCCACAGCTCCCTGGATCTTAAAATCAGTTAATTAGAAAGAAATTGCATTTTTCATTTTTGAGGAGTGTGCAAAAACTACAACTCTATGTGTCATATTTAAAAAAAAAAAAAGATAAAAATCAAACACCTTAGATAACAAAGGAAAAAAGAATATGATGTGTTGAATTCAAAGTTCCATGTTTTCTATGTCTTACGGCAAACAAAACTGATGATTGTACCTGAGTCAAGGTAACCACACCAAGACTTATCTGTCAGAAGTCCAAGCAGCGGCACTGCAAAGAATGAGGGACACCAGGGAACATCACTTGTGCTCCTGAACTGCTCTGAGGCTCATATGCAGCATCAGGTGATCGATCCAGCGGCACACAGTTACACATCACATTAAAACTGAGGCTACTCCATGGGCAGCAGCAGGGCAAACTTCCTGATTGTGCCTCATCCGCACAGGGTAACCGTGTTCTGAAAAAGTGCCTCTGAAAATGAGACAAATCCTGCCAGCATGCCCATATCGCTCCCATGCTGCCAAATCTGGCAGTAGAGGTTTCTGCCAATTATTTTTTGTTAAGGGAATTGGACTGCAGCCTATGATTCATTTTACATATAGTACAGCAAGAGTTGGCCTACATATAAAAATTCACACTGGTATAACTGTGTCAGTTTGGGGTGTGATATTTTGCTGACAGTTTTACCTTTAAAAGACCTAAAGTAGATCTGGTTAAATCAGTACCAAGAAACCTTATACTCAGTGAGGGTTTTTTCATCATTATGAGCTAGAACAGGCTGACTGTTTATCTGTTCTTACGAAAACAATGTAAAAGGCATGTAAGGCTAAGCATACACCAGAGATTGCCCAAAACAGAAAGTTTCCTTAATAGCCCCTTTGCATCAGTCACTTCTTTACAGGGAGAATAATTTTGTAGGGCATTGATGATCAGTAAGTATGTAGCAATAAAATTTCAGAAAAGTTAACTAACCAGGTGTGTGTATGACTCTGTGATACCAAAATCAAAAAGTCTCTCTTTGTTCAGTAAACAGTGACAGTGATGCCTATGTCTTCAGTCTTCCTGGAGACAGATATTTTAGAGTAAGCAGGGGACTGACCATGTTTAATCCTAAAATGAGGAGATCTGAAACTAATCCCGCTGCTCCCTTAGACATCAACAACAGAAAGGTGTTTTTAGACCAAAACAAACAAACAAACAAACAAAGAAGTTAGGAGTTGACTTGAATAGAAGTATATGATATCTATAAAACAGTTAAGGGTAAAAATAAATTAAGTAATTTTTCATGTAAGGCATCTAGAAAAGATTCAGTTGCCTAAAAGTCAAATACTGAGCTTATATAGTGTAAAGAAATTTGTAATTACATTTGGAAGTACAGAAAGATGCTAAGTGAAGTTACTGTAGCAAAGTTTGCTGTCTGAATGCAAAACTGATGTCATTTATGCACATATAGAATGACTGTAAAATTTAAATGATTTGTTTTGGAGGCAAGTCTTGAAATTTGGACCATAGTTCCCATGGTAAATATATCTTTCATTATGAAAAAAAAAATGAAGAAATGATCTAATTTCAAGGAAGTCATGTCTACTATGCAATTTGTGAGGCATTACTGGTAAGAGCTACCTCAATCTCAGTCTTGTCAGAAACACATAACCAATAATAAGCTTCGTTTTTAATGCAAGCCACCCCATTTTATTACTCATTTTAGTTGTAGAGAGGGAGAGATCATAATGCAACACAAACGTTTTAAGAGTCAAGATTTACATGGGGAAAAATTACTTCGTTAGCCAACTATAGCTTGTTTTATTAGCATCATTTAGTTCTAAGTAGACTGAGAAATGGAAAAAGAATTGTTTTTCATTTTTAACATTTCCCGCCCCCATTAATATTCCTCATCAATTTCAGTAATCAACCTCAGTTGGACACACAGAGATTTCAAACCTGAAGAGGTAGGGCTGGTTTTTGCACCTTTTCCACACACTACATTCTCATACAAAACTAGTTTGGCAAGCACACATCAGGCTCTTGGCAAAGGTTCTGACCTCGCCATTTTAAGCACCGTTTTCTTAATATTATGTTGACATATGGCTATTGTGCTCCTAATCTAGTTATTTTGTGTCTGCTGTGTTGTTGCTATCTCATCTTCTGAATTTTCTTCAGGCAATTACTGTCAGAGGCATTTAATTTCTTCTGCTACATGTTAACCAGTTGCCAACATTCCCCCTTTTCAGTGTGGAGAAGCTGATTTATGGGGCCAAAGCAGTATTATTGCAAGGTGTCCTAGGTATATCTGCATACCTACAAGGCCATCTAAAAATAGTCCAATCACACACCGAGGAATGGTAGAGAAGCTTTGGAGGGAATAAAACTGTTCTTTTGGCCTTCACATGTCACAAAGCCAGAGAAAACACGCTATGTTGCTTTCATCTCTAATATGTTGAATAGTTGCCTGTGGTTAATTACACTGCATCGTGGAAGGTGCCACAATCAGGCAATAGGATTAAGCCAGTTGAAAGTGATGTGAGGAAACAGATGGAAAATAAGTCAGGTAACCATATAAAGCAAGTACAAAAGCACTAGCCGTAAGTGAGCAAAACATCACATTTATGCATTTTATGCTATGCAAAAAAGCAAACAAACACCCCTGCAACAAACAACGATACAGGCTAACACACATTGTTCACCACCATGTGTTGACAATATTTTGACCTTCAGCAAGCCATAGAGGTACTACGAGAAACTGAGAAATGCAATAGCTGGCAGGCACAGCTTTAACACAGGGATGGGGGAGAGGATGTTCTTCACATTAACTCTTGCTGATTCACAGCACGCTACATACTGGGATGGGGAGAAGCTGTCCTCCTGCAGTGCTGCCCTATCACCTGGATGCCTCCACCCTGACCATCCTGTAATATGTACTGAAATCTGCTGTCGTACAGTTCTTGTGTCTTGATCCAATGGCCCTTAGATTTAAACTCTGAAAAAGCAGCTAACAGCGTATGAGGAGGTCAGAAAGCATTTATTCCACCAGGCTTCACTGGACTAACACTGAGCGGTCCTCTGAAGAGCTTGACTGTAAATAAGGCATCAAGTCCGGGCAGTGTGAGCATCTGCTCTTCATCTTTGTTACTGTGCATTGTCCGCATTCCCAGCGTACAATGAAATTTCATGTGTCTCTGCTGCGAAAATGGAGATGTTAAGACCTATACTTCTCAGGGTTACAAATATTCCAGCACATTATCAGGTGATCAGCTTTCCCTTTACAGGCATGACTGCTGGTCATAATGTTGGCTTTCATGGAACAAATTGCAGATCTCAAGAAAAACAGCGTCTAAATTTGCTCCAGTAGCTGATTTTGAATGCAAGCTAAATCCTTGTTTTCAGATTGTACCCCACAAATACTAAAATAAGCTCTTCTTGGAGGCTGAAAAATATACCCTTGACTTCTCAGGCATGCAAGAGTATATATTTGAAGATAAGGAACAAAAGACACGTGACCCATTACCATACTTCACAGTTTGTCACTTTTTGCACTGAAATTCAACAAGCCATTAAGTCATTAGATAACATTAAAAAAAAAACAAAACTAAATATAGCCTATCCACAAACAAGCATCATTTTTCTTTACTGATTTCTAAGGGAATTTTTTCGTACGAGCGTAGGTTACCTAGATGGCAGTTAGACAGATATGACAGGGGTATTGATAACACCATAAAAGCAGCGGTTACGCTTTACTTGAGCACTTAGATTAAATGGTATCTGTGGCAGCTAATCAGACAACTGGTTAGCAATTTAGAAACCAGTTTATTCATAAAATTAAATGTACCATTAAAAACAATGTGGCAATATGACTAAGCTGTGATCATATAGATTGAAGCATATTGGACATGAGACCCATTTGCAAAGTCCATGAGAATTTGTCTACGCTACAACATACTGTCAGCCATCGTCATTATCTTGTACAGATACCTAGCAGAGGAAATAACAATCTGAACTAAAGCGAACCTCTTAAAATTCACAGTTCAGTGCAGTGCTGATTACAGCAGCAGCCCTCTTTTCTTTTCCGCCACTCCCATCCTTTTGTTCCCTTCCATTTTGCTCTTCTCCCTTTCCCTCTCCACGGAACAGTAAAATGGCATGGGTAACATGTGGTCTATGGGTCTTGTTACCACAGATTCACAATGAGCCATGTAGTTGCACTCTTCTTCAGCTCACGCTGCTTAGTGTCCCCGATGCCAGGGCACACGTTTTCCTCCTCCACTCGAGAATGCCAGTGCAGAGGATCAGGATGTTGTCTTGCTGCAGGCTGCCTTCCCCTCCTTCACTCCAGGAAAGCAGAGCTGTCCCTGCCTCCTTCGAGCATTTGAATTTCTTTTTGTTTAGATCAAATTTCAAGCTTACATTTCATCCCAACTCTTTGTCTTCTGAAGCCAATTTTGAATGTAAAAAGTTAATACAATATTTACCACACACATTAGTCTCTCCCATTACTCTAATTTTTATCTCCTAATTGAAAGACTTCTTATTTTCCTTTCCTCAGCAACCTGTTTTAAGGAATACTTGATTGTGATTATGTTGGAAGGCACACACAAAACTTTTTAAACCAGAGGTTTTTTTGCCAATGCAGCAAACTTTTCTACTTCAACAATGACTTTAGTATTTAATCAGCTGGCAGGTACCTGTACTGTTTATTAGCTCACCCCCCAGATTCCTTATTCAAGAAAGGAGAATTCCTGAAATGTGAACTAAAAAGTACATATGCATGGTGTCTTCCTGTAATCCCTGCGTGAGGCCCTACACAAGCTATACAAATGATCATCCATTTAAAACATCTTTCTGAGCCCTGTAATTCTACGAAGAGGCTGCATTTGTATGGGGTCCTATAACACTCCTTAACTCTCAGCCAACCACACATTTTGCTCACATTCTTGTGAGCGAGAAAAGCCATTTTATTTGTTATCTTAAAATGGAAACCAATGGAGAAAAAAAAAAACCAAAAAAAAAAACCAAAAAACAACCAATCTTTTCAGGCAATGGGTCAGTTTCTGAATGGATTACTCAACTCCA